TCTTCGATTTTCTTCCACCAAAAAAAATTTGAAGTACATTCGAGTCACCACATATCGACGAGTCGTAGACAAAAGAATCAAATTACTGCGGCTGCCTAGCAGTATATGCTAGCGCTGCTCCTAACTGATCAGCAATATTCTTGCCATCCCATTCAATCATCAAAATAATCCAACAACAAACCACCTACCCAGTAATTCTGATCAGGCCCTTGACCTAACCGCTTGAAGTCTGAACACTGTTTCAAACGTTTCCGCACGGAGCTTTCCGCGTAATGCGGGAATGCCGCTTTGATATCTTCCATTTTCAGTCTGCAACGCAATAAAAACTTAGACATCAGCAGTAATACAAAAACAAGAAACAAAACAACGTAAATTACCAGTATCGATAGCAGCAGATACAGGCTCAACAGTATAAACAAACCTTCTCGGAGTTTGATCACTGGCCCAAAACAGTCGATAAATATACGCAAGCAGGAAATCGCGAACAAACACCGTGGCTCGTTTCGAGTTTGGACTCGGCACTTCGTACAGTGGGCATTCTTGTCCCACCAAAAACAGCGTTGGACAACGTCGAATGAAGAATCTGAAATAAAATTCTCGTGTAAAACCAAAATCTGGCCATATTGTGAAGGTAAAGAAAGAGGATCGAATATGCGCACGTGATCGAATATGCGATGATTGTGCATAAAAATTGTGACCAATTAATAAATGTGAATATATGTCACAGTATCACAAACAAACAAAAAAATACCCTTGTTTCGTTCGAATCAGAAGGTAATCCGTTCGATTCGGCTCATGCTTATAGATTGGTGCTCGATAGAGGTTGTTTTCCAGCGATTGCAGACCTTGACCGGGCGTTAATGAACCCAAAAACGGTAGAGTATGTGTGAATGCTGTCTCACCAAATTCATATTCCGGATCTGCTTCTTTACCAGCTTTCTGAAAAGTTTCACTCGAATTATGAAAAACTACTTATTTGATCGTGTTCTGTTCGCAGTTGTCAACTAAAATAGTTGTGATCCATTCAAATTCTAACCAAAAATAGAACAAAGTGAATTTAATAAGTCAAATCAACGAAAGCTTTTAAATACTTCACTTCATAACTTACTAATGTCTCTATGCGTACTTGCTTCAAGAACATACATAAAAAATTCAGATGAAGTTTGATATAAGAAAAGAACCGACCCGTTTGTAATAGTTCCGGATTTTGCTAGCCATACCCGGCTGATTGAGCAATGGTGGATGTTCCTCAGAATATTCCATCAACAACAGTGTTCCGTC